AAATATAAATCAAAATCAAATTGAAAACTGAATTGTCATAAAATGTACAAAGTAAAACTTTAAAATATATTTTTTGCTTTAATTTCGAACTTAAAAATGATGCCTTTTTCGATATTTTGAATTAACTGTAGAAAATAAGTTTATACCCATCTTCCTGATATGACTTGCACTAAATGTTGCACCGTTTGATGTAATATCACAAATATATGATATCAACTCATCACACATTTAAGGTTAATAGGGAGGGTAGCTTGAAATTTAACTTGCAGCTTGCAAACAATATGGCGCTGGTGTTTATAGCATTTATAAGAATGATTTTGTGACAAAGTTGTTTTTTTTTAATTCATCTTCGAAAATTAAATAAATAAACATATTTATTAATGTACCTTACGATTTATTCTGTCTGAATAGGGTAACCTCCTTTAAAATATACAAGACACAGAAGTCTTTTAAAATTCAGCAGGAAATTCATTTGAAAATCAGATACAAGGACGAATCTTCTTTAAATTAGTAAGACAGCAATACACTCAACATCTTAATCAAATTAATATGACAAATGAAAACGTCTTTGTTTAAAAGCATAAGTATGCCAAATCATTTAAGTATTCCGAAAATAGTTGGTAATGTAATACATGTATATTAAGCTTTATACGAATTCAAACTTTTTAAAGTTTTTTTTATTTTCTTAAGACTTTTTTATTTGCTTTGGATAAATTATAAAAGCTCAGCTTGAATTAAAAGTGTGAATAATTTATCTAATGATAAATTTAACCTAAGCACATTTTATGTGCAAAACAAATGACTCCCTGTCTTTTGAGAAATCAGAGTCATTGATTGTAAATAAATAATTTCCTTTCAAGTGCTAAAGACTAGACAGGCAAAACAGAAACATTTAACGACAACAAATTTTGCTCAAGAGTGTTCAAATCATGTCTACTTCTAGCATCATGCCAATAAAGATGTCAAAGATACCAGTCGGAACCAACACACTCGAAAATGAGGAAAAAAAATACAGCAACGTTATGAGCATGTTTTGTGTGCTTGTGTTTGTTAATATTATGCTGGAACATTCACTGATTACGGGAATCATTAGGAACTCTTTTGTTTTGTTTTTTTTTGTGACAAGCAGAAAAAATAAGTGACACTAGATAAACTCGTTTCTTCGTATGAGTCAGAATATTCTGACAGTTTCATAAGGATATAAAATTTTAATTCAGCTAAGCATTTGATTACATAAATTACAAAAATTGAAAGTGCGTAGACATCTTTTTACAAGCTTGATATAAGCACGACCAACGATTGAATGACATGTCTCAAAAATAATTTAGGATTTAAATATCTATTGTTATAAGATTTTGAAAATCAAAAAGGGTAGATGAGGCTTAAAAACACAATGAAAATTTTCGTGAATATAACTGTCTTATACCAAAAAGGTTAAGGCGGTCTCTTATTCACTTAAGTTGTTTAATTATTAATTAGAATGTTCTTTATAAAATGTCCAGGAAGTCATGAAATAGCATACTTATCAGACCACAAACTGAACATTGTAATATTTGATTTATGAGATGACAGGGGCAAATTTTCCCACAACTTGTCATTCTTTTTATTTTGTCGATAATTGGTGGCATGAACAATTCCATATGTATAGAAAGGGTATTGACCTGAAATCATATAGATAAACATTCTTAGTAATGCTATTGAAATAATATTTAAAAAATAATCTTTTTGAGATTATCAATAAATTGCATTGATTGAATAAAAATGAAAGATATAAATAAAATGAAATCAATTTTAGTCTTTTTTTTTTTATTAAGCAACCCATTGCGTTTGCTCTTAACATCTTTAAAATTTGCAAACGAAATGTTGAATAGAGAAGTACGAATGCTTTATATGGCAATGTAATTTTTGATACTATAAAAATGTTTCAGGATAAATATTATCTACTCATTGACAAAGAAAGGTACATAAGAATAGGTTTTTTAATAATTTATTTTACACCAAAAACACAATAAATTAAAACAACCATTCATACATGTACATGTTCACACCTTCAACATGAAGATTTCAACAACTCCAAGGTGAAAATGATTTAGCAGATGATAATGAAACGGGATTTTTCATCCATTGTAATAATTTGGATACTGAAACAATGTAAACATTTTCATTTTGTAAAAGATTGTCTATGAATTCCGAAAGTCCTGCAAAATTTCTATTGTTATACCAGTAGAACCAGTCTCGGGATATATGAATTCCAAAAGGAGCTTTGTTTTTCTTGTATGAATTAAAGTTGTTCATTAAATATTCAACGGTTTTCTCTGTTGTTTTTAGACCTTTGCATCTATCAGCATATGTGCATTTCTCGCCATTGAGTGACGTCATCGGAATTACTGGAACTTCCCAAATCCCAGAATTTCCTGATGAGGAACAATTTCCTCCTGTGCATTTATTTGTGTCAAAATCTAAGGTAAATGGCCATGGTTTCAGCTTCTCATTACCGGTATTATTTCTCAAAACCAGTGATGAATCATACATTGCTCCTTTGTGTAAGACATCAATGTTTGGCAATATTTCCTCAGACAATTCTGGAGATCTCCATCCTTTAATTTCCTCCTCGGAGATACCCGAATGGGAATGGAAGCTTTTGGTTTGTTTATTTATATCTGATAGCAAACTTTCAGAATTTTCATAAGCTGACGATTGCAGTCCGTTCAAACCAATTTCAATGCCTTCGTTGTATAATAAGTTAGCTAAACGATAGCTAGTTCCTCGTCCATTGGCAAAGAAAGTAGCTCCTATTCGACATCCGTTGGGGTTTCGTCTGTTATCATTGAATAAAGTTTTCATTTTTGAATACGTGAGAAAATTGAGACCTCCGTCGATGGTAATATAAACTATCTGAGGTATATCGCTCAGCTTCATGCTTGTTGGATAATTTGTAGTTTTGCAAAAACACGTAGGGAGTTTGCAGTTTTCTCCTTGTTTACAATCCGTTTCATTTGAAGGCATAGTTGGTCTTTGACTAATTTCTTGTGTTTTTTCCTTTTCTGGTGACGTGGAAGGTGCAACATTCTTACCAGAACTAACGTATATTTGCTTCTTTTGACTTTCTATCCATTCTTGTAAAGATGATATGATAGGGGAGTTTGTTTTACTCTTTATAACACTCCATGGGCCTATAAATTCAAAATTAACTTTTGTATCAGCACTTTGGGGCGAACTTGTGGTCACCAGTGCTATCTGTTGATTCACTGGTGAGTCCGTGCTTGACTTAATGATTTCTGTCTCCTCTTTATTGTCTTTTTGTGTTTGTGTTATGGTATTATCCACCGATTCTGGAACATGAATTCTGGGTGGAATGTGACTATTGTCCGTATGACTGTGTCCATGATTAGAATACAACGATGAACTCGTCTTTACCTGTCGCCTAGACTGCTGTTCCTCGTTATTTACTTTGTTTGTAAGAATTGATTGCCAAGAATAGGCTGGTGATTCATACAAATTCTGTTGTCTTTGACTCTGTTTTATTAATGGTGAAGGTGGTTTTGGAATTGGAAGGTTCGAACTTATTTGTCTTGGCTGCACTGGAGGTGGAGGGGGTATGGCTGTTGTTCGAATGGTTTTCCTCATCGCTTTCCTCCGTTGCATGCGCTGAAAGAGATAAGAGTTCTGCATAGAGGGCTGCTGCTGTCTTTGTATCGTGTTAGGGTTAAATCTACTCGTCTTGTGTGAGCTTCTTGAGGAGTGTGGGTTATCGTGAGAATGGTGTTCACTATGGGTATTCTCTCTGAACTGAGTTTGATGATGGTCAAAAGCGTTGTGACTGTGGTGAGAAACTTCAGGTTGACTTGCGATGTTATGGTTTCTTTTGTCACCAGCGAAAAATCCCTTTGCGTTAAGTTTTGGCGCAGAGCGATCACGGGGGTTAGAACATGTCCACGGTTCAAAACTATTTAACTTCTCTACTGGAGTAGGATTTTTTAGCCATGATATGACCTGCTTTACAGAGACAATGTATACATCATCTAGTTTCAGTAAATCCTGTATAAATCTATCCATAGCCCTTAATCTGTCTGGTACATAAAACCAGGCTGCGTGCATGTTAATACCGAATGGCGCTTTGTTGGTTCTATAATAGCTGTTGAAATTTTCCCATAGAAATTTGTATGCAGAATCTTCATCAGGTGGGGGATTGTTGCATCCATCAACGTACACACATTCGTATTTTCCAAGATAGTCTGTTACAGATACGACTGGTACTTCCCAGAATCCTCTGTGTGTTGATTTTGGACAGGGTTTGATCTTGCAGTCATATGGCCATCCGTAGTCCAGTGTGAAAGGTAGAGGTGCTCGATCCGTTTGTTTACTTTTACTGATGGTAAGAGTGGCGTCATATGAATATCCCAAAGACTGAAGAATATTTGGTTGCGCATCTCCCATTGGCTCTAAAAATGGACTTCTCCACCCGCGGATTTTTGATTTTGGTATCCGGGCCTTTTTGGCTAAGTTCTCTTTCTGTTTTTCTGCCTCATTTCTGAAAGTGGCCGAACTTGGATGACTGTGAGTGACACTGTGGGATGCAATTTCGAAACCTTTCTGGTAAAATTCTCTTACCAAGGAATAAACAGTATTGGCATGTGAAATAAATAAGGTCATGGATATCGGACATCCATTTGGATTTCTACGATTAGAATCAAAAAGTTTTCTATAAAAACTGGCAATATATGTATTAACTGCGTCATCGAAAGTAAAAAATACCATCTGAGGTGTTCTGGATTTTTCAAGAGGCATGTCTTTTCCACAGCATACACATTTGGGCGGTTTACATGTATCACCATGTTGACATCTATAACAAGTCGATGGTGAAGCAGCCAAAGTCCATCCCAAAACGGAGATCAAAATAACAAACTGGAAAAACGATTTCGAAAGTTCCATTTTTCCCTTTGTTTATCAAAGCTGATAAAATTGTCTCCAAACACACTCTGTTAAGAAATAATCATCCTATGCTCGCCGACGTCACAAACACAAATGAAATCCTCGTCCAGGTAAAAGAAAGAAAAAGGGCTACCTGTTCACAATTATATGCAGAAAAATTATGAGAAGATGAGACCTATGTTAAAAACGTGCGACTTAGTGACAAACGCATGTGACATTTCTTTAACAGTGTAGCTCCATCACCGTCGGGCCGCGGGCGAATGACAACTGAGCAGCGAAAAGGAAACGAGGGTTTATATGACTTCAGACTGTGAATACAATAAGAATTAAAATAGCGTCGTTAACGATTGTAATTATCACCGTCACTATTAACTTAATGAATTATTCTGGGCGATTATGATCAACCCACAAAAATGAATACGGCTTTATATAAGATGTAGATGATTCAATTTGAAAGAAAAACAATGATTCTTGGGTGAAACCTTGTAATTTGATAAATTTCTTCTTTACTTTCGTTTGGGCGTTGTGAACTTTATTTTTATTTAATAAGCACTTTGCGTTTTGCCATAACTCTGAACATTTTAAATCTTTATGACAGTTTCATACTGTGCCCTTTCATGTTTGTAATAATTACTCGTGAGCGAATGTAAAACCGCACGAGCAGAAATTTATTTATACGATATGTATATATATATTTTAAAACAAAATCATAAATAACTTCCAAATAAGGTAAACTATTTCGCCCATGTACTTAAAAAAGAATTATAGCCCTGAATACATCAATTTGATATCTTTAACACTCATAATTATGAGAATTTGTTTCAAAAATATATCTCTTCTGAATTATGAATACAAGAAAAATGGTTTGGTGATAATTTTGAAACCTTTTACGACCTAATAAATAGGCAATTCCGAAGCATTAACATTTTAAACCTGTGAATTTAATATAAAAAAGAACTTTATTCCATATTTTAGCTATATGATTTATCAGAGGTCATAAATTTTAAGGAAAGTTTGCTTAACCTTGTTATTTTTTGGAATACACTTTATTTTGGCTTACGTGAAGTTGGTCAAATACCATTTAATGATAGATGTATAATACCTACATGTATGTGATTTTGGAGGCTTTTATTTAACTTTAAATTACTAATCAATGTCAATCTGCATCAGAAAATCAAAGTATAATACTTAAAAAAAATGAAAATCTCGTTGCTTAAATTTGGGCGTTGTATATTGCATCTCAATTTGCATAATTTTTCGCCATCATTATCATAAATGTCGATTGCAAAACCATTGTTTTTAAATCTCTTATATAAGACGTTAAAAATATTGGCTTCTCGTGCACTGCATTCTTGGTTTCCTAATACTATCGTATTTTGATTTATGGACTTCTGAAATCATTGGACGGCTTAGATCAACAAGCGGGAATTAATTAAAGAAATATATGATTTTTGCAATTATCATTTATTAACATTTACCTGATTATTTGAAATTCCGATTAATGTAATGAAATCCATTACCGGATGGTAACAGATTCAAATCCGTGGTTAGAGGTCAACTGTTTGCTGACCTTATCAATATTTGAAAATTTTGCATATAGTTACATTATCTCGACTGAGGTTAAACCCTTTGTAGTAAGTGTACTGCAATTTAATACCACTGAGCTTAAAATTCATACTATCTACATTGTTCTTCAGAATTGGTACCAAAATTCAAAAGTAATGTCGAGTAGATAATAAACAACCAGATTCGCACACAAAAAATTATGCACTCCGAATATATGGATTTAAACCTTGATGTATAGAAAGTTAATGTTAATCTCTTTGAAATTTAATAAGAAGATGACATGTTTTGACAAGGTTTTTTTTTTAAAAATGGTTTTATTTCCCATAAAGTTACAGTCGTGCATATAAGCCATTGTGGGCATGACAATTTGTATATTTCATGTCCATGTAAAAACAAATTCCCCTTGAAATTACGCAAGACTTCCAGCGTAATTTTAAATTTAAGGTACTCAGCAATGATGTAAAATGTCCATTCTTTATCTACGTAAAATCAAAATCTCTGGAGATTGAATTATACATGTATTTGATTCAGTTTGGGACATCTGAATACAATGAACTTCGATTCTGATTCGGTTTTATTGTAATCCTTAGTCCAGCTTGCTATCCCAACAGTAGTTGTTCCTCTAATTTTCAAATATATGAATAAAATATATGGGCAAAAATGATGCTTATAATGTTCTTCATACAAAAGGGGAAATTCAAAGGTTTTATATATCAGTTTTGTTAATTCACAAATTATGTCAAGGGGAATTAGCTCAAGTGGTAGAGCGCTCGCTTAGCATGTGAGAGGTACCGGGATCGATACCCGGATTCTCCAAAAAGTACATAGGCATTATTTTTGACAGCTCAAAAGTGGAATGGGGGACTTTCTTGTGGGGTTTTTTTTTTTGGAAACACAAAGCTTAAAAACAAGAAACAAAGTGTGGCATTAATTCACAAGTTTAAGTAAAATAAACATCCCCTCCCCGACTTAATTTTGAAATACTTTTTGTGGAAGAAATTCAGAATTTTCAAGTCTGCCATTTACTGGAACTTCAAAGTAAAATCTTCTACTTGTTTCAAAAGATTCATGTATTTTCATTGAAACAAATTATTAATAGTTTCAAAATTTTATATATTTTCAAGAAGGATCTAGAAAACACTTGCTGTGGCCATCAACTCGACATTTAGATACATCGACGACGTATTTTCAATTAACAATGGTTACTTCCATTCTTATGTCGATACGATATATCCCGGTGAGCTTGAAATAAAAGATACCACAGAGTACATCTGTTTCAACTAATGCAGCAATATACCTTTATCACCTGCATACGGGGTTTATATCTCTCAGTTGATTCGATACCCAAGAGCATGCTCTACGTATGAACAATTTCTGCAACAAGGTAAGTTATTGACAAGTTGCTGAGACAAGAATGTCAGCAGTCTCAACTAAAGCCATCATTTCGTATGTTCTATGGTCGATACAATGACCATGTCATCAAATACAATTTATCATTAAGTTAAATTCTGACTGAAGTTTTAAATATAGGCCATTATATACACGCTAAATTTATGATGGATTTTTCCGTTATTTCTTGATCATGACAAGGAGCACACGGCGGTTGCGAACGGTCGGCAGAGGAAGCTCACTCCTCTATGACACCTGATCCCACCTCTAATGTTTTGGAGGTCCGTGTTTGCTCTGCACCCATTTTTATTGTTTAATGGACTTTTGAGTTCGAATACTGTTGGTTATCTCCGCATCCTTCATCAAACTGATTGAAATATTGCATGTGTGTGCAAACAAACAAAAAAGAAACTCCCAAAATACTGAATAAATAAACCCTTCATTTTGACAAATACTTCTAGGATTATTTCAAATTTACGGAGAAATCAAGCCTAAAATCCGAGAAACTACTCATTTAAAAGTAGAAAAATTACCAGAATTAGGATCAATTGTACTTTTGTCATGATATAATTCCAAAGTACATAATATATGTGACGTTCACGTGGTCAACGTACCTTTCTTTTCTTGTTTTGGGTTGCTTACATGAAACAGACAGTTTGTCCTGTACCGGGAAATATTGGATACATGTACTTGTGACAATAGAAAATGACCACACAGGACACATTTCAAGAAACAATTCTTTTCTTTCAGTTTAATAAACTTAAATAGTAACCTTCATTGAAGTAGATTAGAGTTTGAAACTGGATATATTGTAATGGTGTACACTTTTCAAACAAATCTCGATACTAAATACATATATCTCAGAAAAGTTATTAATACATGTAATAATGCAAATGATGATGGTTAAAAAAATGATAAGTAAGTTTTGTTTGACACATGAAGGAAATAAATAGTAGACTAGCTTAAAATAATGCGAGTTTTAATGCTTGCCCACAACATAAGTGAAAGATATTTGATTTTGATGAACTTAATTACTTAATTTTAAATACGTAAAATAATGCTAGACCAATAACAGTTGTTCTTTAAAAGACAAAACATATTTTGCACTATCAAATATTAAAAAAATTCAAAAGCATATCAAGAAGTAATTTAAAAATTTGAATTTGTGCCTGAAATTAATTTGAAACAAATGTAAATGTAATTCAAATATTTTTTAAACAAACATTTTACGATCCATTCTTTAATTGTGTATGCTTTTGTTTAGTCTGTTAGACTGAACTTGCCAACACCCTTGAGAAAAAAGAAAAACATTAAATTACACTTGTGTTTAAACAAAACTTAGGACAAAGGTTCAAAAATAAGTTTGAGATAGAATTAAAAAAAACACGTTTGTACAGTGTTTTTTTAAAGCTAAAAAAAATTATTAAGGAATTTCCTTGTCAAACCACCCTCATTTGAAACATTCTCTCCTATTCTTTATCTTTTCAGTTACACTAAAATTCAATTAAGAATGGGAGAGAAAAATTCAATTTCCTTGATTTAAATATAAATGTACTCTGATTTTTCATGAACAAATTAACTTAAATCCAAACAAAAAAAAAAAAAAAAAAAAAAAAAAAAATAGAAACTAAAGTAAAAATATCATTTTCACAGGTTTTGGGTACTAGTCTCTATAACCTTTATCAGTATAGGTGTATTCAATTACATTGACTAAGGTAAATGCACTGATAGTGACATACTAAAACTTCTTCAAAATAAGTTGATTGCTTTAGTATTTGTTGTTGTTGTTCTTTTTGCATTTGTTTACAATTTCATAGATCGATCGATGGAGAGACAAAGTTTTGTTTGTTTCAGTGAGGGATCTTTCTCGTGCAGGCATCTACTGCGATACGGGAACTTAGCCGAATAACCAGTCTCCATGTCCGACAATGGGATTCGAATCCGCGATGTAAGGATCAACTTCTTACTCCGCGACACTCTACCTCTGTGCCAATCGAGCGACAAGAGAGAGAGAGAGAGAGAGAGAGAGAGAGAGAGAGAGAATAATTGATGTCTCACGTTAAATTTACGATAATTATCTTTTATTATTTACGGTGAAAATAAACTATTTATATTAAAATTGTATTAATTTGTTCTAATAACTTCATCGATTAACCAAATGATTATCAAATTAGTAGTTAAATGAGTTGAAAATTAATTACACTTAACTGCTAACGAGTTAAATCATTTAATTTTTTTGATATCTACTTGTTGTATGTCATTAAAAAAAGACAAAAAAGGGAAATTACCATACGTATAT